GTGTGTGTGGACTTCCAAGCTTGCAGCTGGTACCTCATTGACCTAGTGTAGATCAGCAAAGACAGCGGTTCTGAACCTGTGGGTCGAGACCCCTTTGAGGGTCGAATGACCCTTTCACAGGGGTCGCCTGATTCCTAACAGTAGGAACATGACAGTGGTGAAGTAGCAACGAAAATAATTGTATGGTTGTGGGGGGGGTGTCACCACAACATGAGGAGTTTTATTAAGGGGTCACAGCATTAGGAAGATTGAGAACCACTGAGCTAAGAGCTGAGATCCCCAAAAGTGACCAAATGGAGAAAGATGTTTGACACAGGAGCTGGCGGGAAGTGCTGAAATTGATGGCTTCCTCTGGATTGGACTTTGCTTATGGATGCAGATGGCCCAAGTTCCAACTAGAAATGAAGCTTCTATTAGGTGTCTCGGGCGGGAAATGCTTCGGTCCTTGGCTTTGCACGCAAAAGAAATTCATGCCGAAGCCTGGTTTGTGATCCAAGTGGGTTTTTATAAAGGATGGAAGAAGTTTCAGGTTTTACAGTTAACTTGACACAGGACTATACCCCCTTCCCCCTCCCACCACGTGGCAACCTGAGGGGAGAGGGAGAGACACGGAGACCACAGCACAGCTGAGGGGAAGGCAGAGGGGTGGGGGAGAGGGGGGGGTCTCCTGGTTCCGGCCTTTTGGGGCCTTTCGGCTGGGAGGCATGGTCAACGGTACTGGTTGACCCCATTGGCTGAAGTAAGTCCACCTGGCCTAGTTTGAAGCCCACCCAATTGTACCGCCTTCCTGGCTCTAGGGTCTGAATTTGTGCATGCCGTTTAGCCTTTATGGGCTTCCAACGTCCTCTAGAGGGCCCCTAGGCATGGAGAAGAACAACTCCCTATCTTGCTACCTAGCAGTTCTTCACTTTGAGAAACAGTGCTCCCTCCTTGGAGTACTGGGTTGATAGCGATGAACCATTTAGAAACGAGGTATCTAGATTGGGGAGTCGCATATGAAAAGAGTAAGGGCAGGGGAGCCAAGGGGCGGCCTACAATGCATTGAATTATTTAATGTGACTTTTCTATCCATAGCCTTTTTTTTTCTCTCTCTGAGATTGTAATTTTTTAAATCATTTTATTGGGGGCTCATATAACTCTTATCACAATCCATGCATACATCAGTCGTATAAAGCACATTTGTACCTTCGTTACCCTCATCATTCTCAAAACATTTACTCTCCACGTAAGCCCCTGGCATCAGCTCACTCCCCCTTCCCTCATGAACCCTTGATCATTTATAAAGTATTATTTTGTCAAATCCTACACTTTCCGACGTCTCCCTTCACCTACTTTTCTGTTGTCTGACCCCCAGGGAGGAGGTTATATGTAGATCCTTATAATCGGTTCGCCCTCTGTACCCCACCCTCCCTCCACTCTCCTGGTATCGCCACTCTCACCACTGGTCCTGAAGGAGTCATCTGTCCTGGATTCCCAGTGTTTCCAGTTCCTATCTGTACCAGTGTACATCCTCTGGTCTAGCCAGATTTGTAAGGCAGAATTGGGATCATGATAGTGGGGGTGGAGGGAGGAGAAAGCATTCAGGAACTAGAGGAAAGTTGTATGTTTCACTGTTGCTACACGGCACCCTGACTGACTTGTCTCCTCCATGTGACTCTTCTGTAAGGGGATGTCCAGTTGCCTACAGATGGGCTTTGGGTCCCCACTCTGCATTCACAATGATATGATTTTTTGTTCTTTGATGCCTGATGCCTGATACCTGATCCCTTCGACACCTCCTGATCACACAGACTGGTGTGCTTCTTCCATGTGGGCTTTGTTGTTTCTGAGCTAGATGGCCGCTTGTTTACCTTCAAGCCTTTAAGACCCCAGATGCTATATCTTTTGATAGCCGGGCATCATCAGCTTTCTTCACCACTTTTGCTTATGCACCCATTTGTCTTCAGTGATTGCCATACCCTTTTTAATTTCATTTTTTGCCGTAGCTACATGTTAGAATTGACCCAATGCCACTGTGGCAGTCACGTAATCTCCTGTCAATTTGAGGGAAGGGTGGAGTCTAGCCGGTCAATCAGGTCATAGCCAATCATGCCTCTGTGTGCGCGTGGCACACAGGATTCTGGGAACTCCTGTCTTCCTCCCTGGAGGTGGGACACACTATCTGCTAGGCATTCCTGTTGACAATCCACATGGTGACACACTGATGGAGCTGGAGGAGCCACATGGTGACATGCCAGTGCTGAGATGTTTCCATTGCCACTGGATCTACAAGACTCTCCACCCACTGGTCTGTGATCTTCCTGCATTCAGCATCATTGCATGGCTGTGTGAGTCTAAAGAGGAATTAATGGACTAGTATTGGACATATGGGCTAATATCGGATTTATGGACTTGATCTGGACTGGGCTGGGATGTTTTTAAATATATACTTGCTCTTGGGCATAAAATTCTTTCTTATACACATATGAGTGTCTCTGGATTTGTTTCTCTAGTCTATCCGGACTAGCGCAAACATTGAGGTGGAGTTCATTTTATTCTCGGACTAAGGAGCCCTCGTGGCACTATTAGGTAATATTGGACTGCAAACTGCATGGTCAGTAGTTTGAATCAACTATCTCCTCTCCATGGAAGAAAGTTGAGGCTCCCTGCTCCTGTGAAGATGCACAGTTTCTGTAACCTGATGTCAGGTTGCTGATTCAGAATCGGCTTGAAGGTCACGCTGTAAGTTGCGCTGGAAGCACTGTGGAGAAAGAAGTAGCAATTTGCTTGGTAAAGATAACACTAAACTCACTGCCATTTGTTCTGTAACCCTTCACCCAATTCTCTCTCTCTCTCTCTCTCTCTCTCTCACACACACACACACACACACACACACACACACACACGAGAAAGAAGTAGCAATTTGCTTGGCAAAGATAACACTAAACTCACTGCCATTTGTTCTGTAAACCTTCACCCAATTTTCTCTCTCTCTCACACACAGACACACACACACACACACACACACACACACACGAGAAAAGTAGCAATTTGCTTGGCAAAGATAACACAACTCACTGCCATTTGTTCTGTAAACCTTCACCCAATTTTCTCTCTCTCTCTCTCTCTCACACACACACACACACACACACACTCTCTCTCTCTCTCTCTCTCTCTATCTCTCTCTTTCTCTCACACACATGCTCGCTCAAAACAACAGCCCTCCTATTCAATAGATCCTGACTCACAGTGACCCTACAGGACAGACTATAACCCGGGCCCTCACATGCTTCCATGGTTGTAAATCTTTTTTTTGGGGGGGGTTGTAAATCTTTATGGATGCTTCCTCCTGTGGCTGGATCTCCTGTGGATCTGCAGACCTTTCAGTGGGCAGCAAGCACTTAATGACGGCGCCATCCAGGTGCTTTGGGAATCCTGTGGGGCATTCTACCCAGTTCGTGTGTTGACTGTTGCAAGCAGACCCCAGGTCACTGCGCTTGGTTTTGGATTTGGGTTTGCATTCTAGGAGAAGGCCGAGCTTCTCATGAAAAGGTTCATTTAACTACCTCTATCTCTCTTTCGGTGGGCTTTGAAGTTGGGGGCGGGGCTGCCCTTGTAAACAGCTCATTTGCATGCCCCGCCCACAATCATTTGCATAACACGCCTGGCGGAATCGTGCCCTTCCTCCCTGCGTCCCGCCTCCCGGGCCACGAGGGGAGGCACGC